CCTCTGACCCTCCTCCCTCTCATGCTCTCTGTCTCTCATTCTCTCTCTCAAATAAAAAAAAATAAATAAAATTTTTAAAAAAAAAATAAATAAATAAATAAATCTTCAAAAAAAAAAAAAGATCATCTCGGCTGCCGTGTAGGAAGTAGATTGTAGGGGGACAGGAATAGAAGCAGAGAGACCAGTTAGGAGTCAATCACAGTAGTTAAGGCAAGAGATGACGGTGGTTTGGACTGTAATAGAGAATTGGTCAGATGCTGGCGATCATTTGAAGGTTTTTGCTGATGGTTGGATGTGGTGTATGAAAAAGAGAAGAAAAAAATCAAAGATCATTTCAAAATATGTGGCCGGCTTATTTGAAAAGACAAATCTGGTGTTTGGTTTTGGGCGAGGTAAGTTTGAGACATCTTTTAGACAGCCAAGTGGACATGTCAAGTTGGCCTTGAGTCATCGGCATATGGACACTTTCTGATGTCCCGAGGCTGGATGTGTTCACTGAGGAAGTGAATGAGTAGAGATAGAGAAGAACTTCATGCACTAAAGCTTGAGGCAGTTCTGATTTTTGGAGGTCGGGGATATGAGGAGGAACCACAGGAAATTCTGTATAAACTAGAAACCCCTGGAAGCCCCGAAAGCCAGCCAGTCAGAGGAAGCTCGAGGGTGTTAGTACCTGTAAACCATGGGCCTGGAGAAGCCGTATCAGCATCACCTGGGAATTTGTTAGAAACAGAATCTTGCGCTCCACTGCGGAGCTTCTAAATCAGAATCTTTGGAGGTGGGCTCCAGCAGTCTGTTTCAACAATCTCTCGTGGTGATTTTTGAGCAGGCTAAGGTTTCTGGAGCACAATCCTGGAAGGTCCTGAGGAGTTGAATTTCAATGGCATTGGTCTGGAGGACCCTGTTACAGATTTTTGTCCTCCCCGTAGGAGGTTAGTAGGTGGCCCAGTCTTGCACACTTGCTTCAGAGGGCAGTCCCTCATGCAGGGCAGTGCACAAATCGTGGGAGACAGGGAGGCACTTGCCGGAGCGGGCTAGGCAAGTGGTCTGGGACCGACGGTTATGGGGCAAAGTGGAGACCTGAGCTCCTGAAGCCATCCACTGTGGGAGTATCTTGGAGTGGGCCCCCCAAGGGTGCGTATCTGCTTGTCTGAAACTGCCCTGTGGCTTGGGTCTCAGGAGAAAGCAGATCAGGCAAAGAGGGGAAAGGAGGGAACTCACGGTCCGTGTGTTTGCGCTACCTACTGACTGGTTCCGAGAGTTCCGGTCGCCTCTGGGCTTCACATCCCATTGATGGAATTTGTTAAACGTGTCCAATGTGCCAGGCCTGTGCAAAATGGAGAACACGAATAAAGGAAGAAGGCCCCATTCCACTGATGATTTGGAGATCTCTCTCTCTCTTTTTTAAAGATTTGTTTATTTCAGAGGGGGGGGGAGAGAGAGAGAGCACAAGAGAGGGGAGGGGCAGAGGGAGAGACTCCTGAAGCAGACTCCCCACTTAGTGCAACACGGGGCTTGATCCCAGGACCCTGAGATCATGACCTGAGCCAAAATCAAGAGTCAGCTGCTTAACCAACTGAGCCCCCTTGGCGCCCTGATGATGTAGAGATCTTAACAGGGCCCTGTGTTAAAGGTGGCAAGCCAGCAACTTAAAGTGGTTCTGGGTCCCAGAGTGACTAATTCAATCTGGTGGCAGCAGGAGAAGGTCTCACTTAGAAAAGGAGCTCTTGAACTCCAGTCCATGGGCATAATGCAGGGGGTTCATGAGCTTGAGTGGGGAAAAAATATGCACTAGTTGAACTGAAAATTAGCATTTCCTGTAATTATGAATGCAGACGACAAACCACAATAGTATCAGAACCCATGAGTCTGTTATCCATGTAAATCATAGATATTTTTATTTTATAGTTGGTGCAGGTGTTTCAAAATATTACTTATGCTCATTACTATTTTGAAAATACAGTAGTTAATTAATTCTTGATATTTAATGTGTAAAAAGAAGCACATCCCTGGCGTTTTATTATTTTTGAATGTTGTATTCTAGTATAATTAGGCTTTAAAGTCATCCTGTGTGTTTTATTTTATGCATTTACAACATTATTCTAAGTAAGAGTCCGTAAGTATCAACAGACTGCCAAATCAGGCCATAGAACAGAAAAGATCACAAACTCTGGTTTAGAAGACCTTTGCTAACCTGAATCTTGATTTATAGAATCTTTGAGGACAGGGATTTTTTTTTTAAGTTTATTATTTTTATTTTTATTATTATTTTTTGGTAATCTCTACACCCAACGTGGGGCTCAAAGTCATGACCCTGAGGTCGAGAGTAGCACACTCTTCCCACTGAGCCAGCCAGGCGCCCCGAAGACAGGTATTTTTCATCGTTTTTATTTCTGCAATGCTCACAGTATCGCATGAGTAAAGCGTTCACACTCCAGATTCTCCTTCACAAAACACATGTCTTGCGTCTGTGGCGTCTGCACCCTTCTGTAGGGCCCTGTGTCTCACTGGAACACTTCTGCTGATAGGCCCTCCCGCGAAACTTCTCGGACTGTCTTCAGCCATCTGCAGTGTCCTTGACCCTATGGACCATGAGTCTCTCCAGAGCAGGGACTATGCATATGGCGACTCAGTAAACGTCCACCAAACAAATGGTATTCAGAGGGTGTGCACCATACTGGAGACCCAGAGCTGTGGGGGCCAGAAGAAAAGGACTGGATAAATTCGAGTTCCCCTCTTGAGCCCACAGGTCCCTGGAACATGGGAACCAACCAGGCTGTGGAGCGTGAAGGTGGAGGCAGGTCCTTCCTTCTGAGCCCAGGAAGCCATGTGATGCTCCTTGTCAGAACTTGGAGAGCCTCAAGAATGAAGAAGGCCCGGATCTTCTGCTTCTCCAGATTAGGAAGATCAGAGGAGAAATAAAATTGCTTCCACTCTGGGAAAACTTAGGAGAGGTGATCATGGAGACTTGGACCTCAAGGCCTGGGGAGAGAGGTGAGAGTTCAGGAAGGGTGTGTGGCGGGGGAGGATCGGAGCTGAGTGTGGAGAGAGGACAAGTGAGGTGGAGGAGAAGAATCCAGTGTGTGAAGCAGCAGACCTTGCTGGGGTCTCAGTAGATGGTCCGTGAGCCCAGGCGGGAGCCCCCTCGTCTCATGGCTTCCTTCTCCTGCAGCTGTCCGCTCTCAAGCCTCAGCCCTTTCTCAGGATGGGGAGGACAAGACCGAGTTTCAGGTGGGTTGAAATCTCTTTTCTCTCCAGAAATAACACGCCAGGCATCAGAGTGTAAAAATATCCCCCTCCCTTGGTAAAAGGGAACAGAGAAAACAATGTATTGGGTGAGTAATGACATTGCTCATTGCATTTATCCACAAAGTAGCCATGTGAGAGAGATGATAGGGTCCGGGGTTAGAAAGGAAGAAATGAGCAGGGAATCCTGGATTTGAACCTGGGTCGGTATGGCTGTAATTTGCCATTCTTCTCTACATGCTCCTCCCAATAAATAATCATCTCATCTCAGGGCCTGAGCCTAAATTATGCAGAGAGGTGACTCTCCAGATAATGAATTCTTCTTCTCTTAGTTTTTCTCCTCTGTGGACCTTTCTGTGATTCATTTACAGATGTTATAGTCTCCAGATTATACACCCTACCAAAAAGTACCCCATGAACAAGGTTAAAAGAGAGCATAATCAGGGAAAAGACATTTCATCTATGACAAAATTATAAATTATAGTATCTTTATTTTTGAAAGAGAGTTTCAAATGCCCAAGCATTCTTGTTCAGAAAGGAAGAAAAGAAGAAACACAATTGGCCAATAATTATATGAAAAGACGATCAACCTCTATTAGTCAAAGCAGTACAAATTCAAACAAGGTAGGATTCTTTTTTTTTTTTAGCAGATGACCAAAGATTTGAAAGATCAGCATTCACTGTGAACCCAATGGAGAAACAGGTACTTGCACACATTTGCAACTTTCTGGAAGTTCCGCATGCGTCTCCTCCAATGTTCCCCACTCTACAAGTTCATTCTAAATCAGAGCAAGTGTCTGCAGAATGATCATTGCAGTGTTGTTCATAACAGCAGAGAAAGAAAAAAAATGTCACGGAGTGGAGTCCATGTCCATCCATTGGATTGATGGATTATTATGGTTTCACTTGTTCTCTTGTCTAGATTTTGTGCTGCTGTCCAATGAGATAAAGTGGATGAAACTATTAGGACGTAGAAAGATGTGCACATGCTCGTGCTTTCTCTCTCTCTCTCTCTCTCTCACACACACACACACAAATACACACACACACAGTAGATACATGCATACGTGTTAACTTTTCCTTTAAGTTGAAAGAAAAAGAAATCAAAGCAATTGTAAAATTTTAAGTACATATTTTTTCAGCACGTATGAGATTATTTTATAAAGCTTTCTTTTTTTTATGGAAAGACATAGAAAAATTTGGAAACTTTGAGTCATTTTTATATTATGCTTTAATTTTAAATGTTATTGATGAACTTCCTACTCTGAGGGCTGAAGAAATGAACACTTCTTTACTTCCCACTGTCTCCCGACATGATGCTGTTTTTACTATCATTACCTTCTGATTTGTCACCACCGATTCCCACAGTGGACTTGTCTCAGTTCTGTGTCTAGAGGTCATTGTCCACCATGTGTCCTTTTGACCGGTTTCTTCATTCCTGCCTTCATTTTGATTTATCTGTTGGTTGCTTTAATGTGACTCCACAATTTGCTTTTCCCAGAGAAGACTTGTGGAGGCTGTACGCACTGAGCATTCCCATGCTGAAGAATGTCTGTTCCCTTTATGCCCAAATGGCAAATTGCCTAAGCTGAAAATTCTTCATTCATACCTTGAGAACTGGCATTCAGTCTTGGGCTGGTCTTTTTCTCATGGCTTCTCCATTCATCTTCTGGTGAACAGAGTTTATTCTGACTTACTAGTTACTTTAGCATTTTTTTTCCCCCGGAAAGGTCTGTTGTGTTTATATTGACAGCAGCTTGGCTGAGTGTCATTTGCAAGGGTCACCCCTTTCTGCCCTTGCTCTGCGATCTTCTGACATTAATTCTTTTCCTGCCTGGATGTCTACTGTTACTATTATTTTATTCATTTGGACCTCCTGGAACTCCTGTTATTAAAGGTGTAACTTCTGGATCTATCTTCCCTATCCTTTACCTTTTATTCTCTTTGGAATTTTCCATCATATTCCAGGAGGCTGCTCTGTGCTCCATTCACTGGCTTCTGCTTCAGTGATGTTCCTTCTTCTGGTTAGCGCATCTCTTGAGGTTGTATTTTCCCGTAATCATAGCAGTGATTTTTTTTTTTTTACACACTTCTGAGAATTCCTTTTTTTTTTTTTTAAGATTTTTATTTCTTTATTTGACACACAGAGAGAGAGAGCACAAGTAGGCAGAGCAGCAGGCAGAAGGAGAGGGAGAAACAGGCTCTCTGCTGAGCAGAGAGCCCGATGCGGGGCTCGATCCCAGGACCCTGAGATCATGACCTGAGCCGAAGGCAGATGCTTAACCGACTGAGCCACCCAGGTGCCCATACACTTCTGAGAATTCTGATTAAATTTTTTTTTGGCAAGATTTTCCCCCAAGGCTTTCTCAGTACTAAACATTTTTGCTAATCTGATGGAGCTGGGTGCGTGGCTAAGACCTCTCATGTATTTCGCAGTTCGTCACACAGTGGGTGCATGATGACCATCTTCCATATGTTTGCTGCAGTTGTGTTTTCTCATCTGAGAATTGCTTATGAAAGGCTTTCGCCCATTTGCTTTAATTAATGAAAGGAGCTCTTTCAAGAGTTGGGTTGTTAACTCACCCATCAGAAGTGTTAACAGTTAACTTTCAATCTTGACTTTGTGAATGGTGAGTTGACCATAAAGAAGTGTAACATTTTCGCCTAGTTAAATGATTTGTTAGTTCCCTTTTGAAAATCTGGTTCCATATCTAGCCTTACCCGTTCTAAGCTTAATCACAAAAAGGCACGTAAATGGGTTTTTATTTAGATTTTAAAAACGTTTTAATCTCTAATATGGCTGTAACTTGTTTTTGTAAGAGGTGTAAGGTTGACAATTTCATTTTCTTCAAGATGGATAGCCAATCATGACGGTGCCATTTATTATATTTATCATTCATTTGCAGGTCAACTAAAGTACTACTTTCATCATTTATGTATTTTGTATATATTTATACATGTATATGTATATGTATTTAATAGGTGTATATATATATATACATATAGGTATATATACATATATATATACCTATATATTGACTTAGCTTTCCTCTAATGGGACTGTTCCTGCATTCTGTACTCTGGTCCACTGAGTTACTTGTATGTCTCTGTATTGTTTTACTATTTATATTGAATATGTACTTTTTTTTTTTTTTAAAGATTTTATTTATTTCACAGAAGGAGACACAGCGAGAGAGGGAGCACAAGCAGGGGGAGTGGGAGAGGGAGAAGCAGGCTCCCGCTGAGCAGGGAGCCCGTTGCAGGGCTCGATCCCAGGACCCCGGGATCATGAGCTGAGCCGAAGGCAGACACTTAACAACTGAGCCACCCAAGGTGCCCCTTGAATATGTACTTTTGAAGTTCAGAAGTTATTATTCCTCCTTTCCCTATTCATCCAGCAAATATTTGTTGGACACCTACTATGGGCCAAACATTATTCTAAGCCCTGGTGATATATCAGAGAGCAAAACAGATAAAATGCCCCTGCTTTCATGGGGCTGGCATTCTAGAAGGGAGAGAGGTAGCAGAAAGGTTAAAAACAAGAACACTGCTCTCAAGTGTCTTGAGGGGCGTAGGCCGGGTGAATTGACAGAAGGTTCCTGCAGTCATCCAAGCAAAGGCTGATGACGAGTCGGATTAGAGAGGTGGAAGTTATGACGGGGAGAAACGGAGAGATTTAAAGTCTACTTTGGAATAATAATTGGCAGAATTTTTTTTTTTTTTAATGAATTAGATGTAGGAAATAAGAAAAAGGAAAGAATCAAGGCTGCCTTGAAGGTCGATGGTACTTGTGTTTACCCACGTTGGGGAGGTCGGAACTATTTGGGAGGAAGGACTCACTTCTGATTGGGCTGTTTCTGCTTCACGATACCTTTAGACACCCAGGTGGTGGTTGGAGTCACCAGGGCTCAGTGTAGACGGCAGGGCTGGATCTAAAGATTCGGGAGATAGTGGCAGGTCTACATCGGTTTAATTAATTGTCAGAGTGCCTCTGGCCCAAGCTTTCTCCCGACCGTTACACTGCCTCTAGTCTTGGGATTGATCTAGGATTGTGCTTGGAAGTGTGCTCTCTTGGTGGCACTCCTTTTCCAAAATGGAGAGGTGGGTTCCTCTGGCCTGGCCCCTCTGATCTCACTGGGGCAGCAGGATAGTAGAGTGGTTTCTGCATGGTTAGCCAGGCTGCCGGAGTTCAATCCTGACTCACCTCTTGTTAGATGTATGATCTTCGACAAATAATATTCCCTTTCTGAGACCCCAGGTTTCTCATCAGTGAAGCGGAGATAGCACTTGTCACTACCTTGTGAGTAGTTACTGATAAGAGAGCCGATGAGAGAACATTCCCAACACTCCAGAAAGTTCTCATTTTCCATGAGTTCTGTGAGGATTAAGTGAGATCAATCATATAAAAATACTTAGGCTAGAGGGACGCCTGGGTGGCCCAGTCAGTTAAGCATCTGCCTTTGGCTCAGGTCATGATGCCAGGGTCCTAGGATGGAGCCCTGCGTCGGGCTCCCTGCTCGGGGGGGGAGTCTGCTTCTCCCTCTGCCGCTGCTCCCCCTGTTCATGCTCTGACAAGTAAATAAATCTTTAAAAAGTACTAAGGCTAGAGCCTGCCTTACAGTAGTTTTTCTGTAAATATAAGGTATTAATATCATCTGCTTTATAGACTCATTTCTGGTCCTCTGGTGACTCACATCTTGGCCTTTATAGTTGTTAAGGTTTAGTGGCTCTGGAACTAGACTCTGCGTTCAGCCTGAACTAGACCTCTGTCTCTAACTGGCTGTGAGACCATGGCCAGGTTACTTCACCTCCTGGTTCAGGGGTTCCTGAGACCACCCCCACGTTCAGAGATTTGCCAGACCCAAGGGGCTCAGTGTGTAGTTGTATTCATGGCTACGATTTGTTAGAGCGGCATACCTGTTTGCACCTGGCTTCCTCCAGACTTCACCCCACAGGGCTTTTCCCTTTGCTGATTTTGCTTTGTTTTTTCAACCCCACTAAGTCTTAGCTGGTGTAGATGTTGCAGAATTTTACTTACACTCATTACTAATTTGAAATTACAGTAGTTAATTCATTCTTGATATTGAATGTGTACAAAGAAGCACATCCTTTGTGTTTTATTATTTTTGAACATTGTATTCCCGTGTAATTAGCCTTTAAAACAATCCTGTGTGTTTTATTTTATGCATTTACAACATTATTCTGAGTAAGAGTCCGTAAGTATCACCAGACTGCCAAAGGAGGCCATGGAACAGAAAAGATCACAAACTGTGATTTAGAAGACCATTGCTAACCTGTGTCTTGATTTATGGAATCCTTGAGGACAGGGATTTTTTTTTTTCAAGTTTATTATTATTATTATTATTATTATTTGGTAATCTCTACACCCAACATGGGGCTTGAACTCATGACCCTGAGATCAAGAGTAGCATGCTCTCCTGACTGAGCCAGCCAGGCTCCCCAAGGACAGGGGTTTATAATCACTTTGATTTCTGCAGTGCTCACAGTATTGCATTAGTAAAGCATTCACACTCCAGTTCTCCTTCACAAAAAACCTTGGGCCTTGGCTCATAACTGAGGATGACACAGCACGATTTGAAGGGCCTCATCTGGTTGTGGATACGGTTGCATAAACACCCACTGGTTGCTTCTGTTCAGCGAGGACATGGAGGCCCGTAAAAGGCATGTGTGTGGAGGGGGTGGGGGGCTAGGGCAGCAAAGAGCAGGATTTGCCCAACTGCTGATGGAGGGGCAAGGGGCTGGTTGGTGAAGAACAGTCATTCTGGCCGAGAAGGTGGTTTTGGGGTGTGTGCAGACATGCGCACTCTAACATTATGCACTGTTGGTACAGTCGCTGTGGAGGAAAAGCTTAGGTATTCTGCAAGTTAGAGTCAAATTGTAAAATGAACAGACCGTATGACTGAAGCATTGTAATTCTATGGAATTGCCTTCAGAAGCGCTTACTTACACTGAGCCAAGAGTAGTTAGCGTTCCTTGCTTTGCTCTCTGTTAACCATGGAAGATCCGTTGGTTAGAATCGACATTATTGGCATCAGACATTAACAAAACTTGGTTTGACCTGCCAGATGGAGCAACTTCCTGCTTGCTTGCCTACTCTTCCTAGTGACTCCAATTTTACCTTTCATCTGGCGGGTGTTTGTGTTAATGGTGTTTCACGTTTTAGGAGCCATTGACCTTCAGGGACGTGGCGGTGGTCTTCACCGAGGAGGAGCTGAGGCTGCTGGACCGCACCCAGAGGAAGTTGTACCGAGACGTGATGCTGGAGAACTTTAGGAACCTGCTCTCTGTGGGTAAGGGAATGTCTGGGTGATCGACACTTAACCTTGATTGGAGTGTTCTTGTTCCCTGGGGAGAGGGTATTTCTGGTCTTTGTATACAGGTTAAATCCCATTTTTTAAATAGAACTGTTATAAAGTAGTTTCATTTGGCCAATCTCGAATCTTTTCTCTGCCTGTCCTTCAAAGGCTTGAAAGTCATGGAGTTAGGGCTACATTTTCTGATTACTTTTTGCACCTCAAAAATGCGCCTAAGCCTTGTATTTTCAGGGCAACAACCTTTCAAACCTGGTAAGATACCGTGCCCTTTGGAAAAAAGGCAGAAAGACTTGGGTAACAGAGAAAATCCAGGAGATGCACACCCAGGCGAGAACCGTGGAGCCTGGAGTCCTGAGCAGGCAGGGAGGGGGTAAGCTTGTCACGTAAGGCCCCTTCCAACCCTCGATCTTCCCTGGGGACACCACATACCGTTGTAGGTGATTGTTCTGTGACCTCATTTCTGCTACTCAGTTCCCACCTTCTCATGATTCCTTCATGCTTTCCTTCATCCTCCACATACCCAGAGTGACAGAGGGGGTCCCTGCACTTGCCTCCCTCTGATAGAAACAGCCGGGCAGTGTAAGATAAGCCAGTTAACTCCTATGTCCTATTTATACCCATTGAGCCCATTTAACTCCTATATCCTAGGCATCCTCAGTTATAAACAGTTTTGTGTTATTTCGGCCCTTGAAGGTAAAAATCACCAATAAAGAATATCAAAAAGCATGGATAGATTTTTTTTTTTTTAACTTAACCTGGACGTACACAGTAAACGTGACAATTTGATGACTCGCAGTCCCGTGACAGGGATATGTTGAATATCTCTATGCCTCCGTGCCTTGTGTCATGTGGATTCCTAACTGACATGCTCCCAGAAGACCAGGACACAGCTGGTGCACTTTGGAGGATTCGGTGCTTCCTTCCTCCCCCGGGTTCAGCTCACACATGCCCAGAATTAGAGTCACTCTGGGAGACAGCGCTAAGTGCGGCCCTAAAACCAGACTTCTGTGTTTGACTCCCCACCCTCCCCTTCCACACAGCATGGCGGGGTGACTGCACCAGGTTACTCACCCTCTTTGTGCCGTGGGTCCCTCATCCATAAAGCGAAAATGGTAAGGGTCCCCACCTCAATGTTATTCTGGAGGTAAAAGGAGTTAGCGGGTGTATATCATCAGCATATAGGGAGCATTTCAATAATGTATATCGTCAGCATATAGGGAGCATTTCAATAATGTTGCATATTATTATTATTGTTAACAACAACAGCAGTAAGTGGAGAAGTGAATTTTCTCTGCAGAAATCTGTTGGGGATTTCTTGCTTGGCAAGTAGATGATGAGACGTAGTTTGTTACCAGTAGGATCATATTCACATTTAGCTTCAAAGCTTGTTAACGGGAACCTCTTCCCTTTTTTAGACATAAAAGAAGTGCCCTGGTAGTTACGATACACACAGGTGAATTTTGCTCTAGGCTTATTACTGGCCCGAGTCCGAAAGCATGACCTGGCTTGAGATCCCTGAGCCAATCTTGTATTTGTTCTCATCTCTGAATTGTCTCTCACCTCATAGGAGACAAGAATGAAAAGGAAATGGAGTATATTCAAGAAAGAGAATTGAAGTGCCTTTCCTCCAGAGAGCTCTCCTACTGGAAAATCTGGGAACAGGTGACTGGTGAATTAACTGGGAGTCAGGATCATAGAGTAAATCTTCAAGGGAAAAGTTTCCAGTTCTCGGAAGACACTTCTCCCTGCCAAGGGTGGGAAGGAGCACCTGCTCGGGGTTCACACATTGACCATCTGGTGGGCAGTCTACAGAGACCCATCGGCTCAGAAAATCAAGAGTTTCCACCCTGGAAAGCTGTAAGACGGGTATCCGCTCAAGATTCTTGGATGAAAGCCTTTGTGAATGAGCCGTGGAACATTCGCGAAAGGTGTAAAAAACTTGACAGGCCTGATACAATATATAAGCATGAGGGGGACAGTTACGGCTTCAGCTGGATAGCACGTTGTCACGATGACCGCAGATTACCCGAAAGAGAGAGACCCTGTAATTGCGGTCAGTGTGGAAAGGACGGCGTTAAAAAGCTGATACTTCATCGCCCTAGCCCCCAGGAGTATGATCGGAGAAGAAATGACTGCGGACACGGCTTCAGGGAAGAGTCACACCTTCCCACTCATCCAAGAGGGCCCTCGAGAGAGAAACCCCATAACAACGAGTTCGGTCCGGCCTTGAGGCCGACCGCCCACCTCGAGAGACCTCAAAGGGCTCCCTCGGGCGAGAAAGCCTCTGAAAGTCCGGAGTGCGGCCGGGGCCCAAGGCCGAAGCCGCGGCGGCCCAGCCGGCCCCGGGCCCCTGCGGGGGACATGCCCTACAGCTGCGACGTGTGCGGGAAGGGCTTCCGGTACCAGTCGATCCTCCTCGTTCACCAGGGCGTGCACACGGGCAAGAAGCCCTACGCGTGCGAGGAGTGTGGGAAGGCCTTCGGCCGCAGCTCCAACCTGCTGGTGCATCAGAGGGTGCACACGGGCGAGAAGCCCTACAAGTGCGGCGAGTGCGGCAAGGGCTTCAGCTACAGCTCGGTGCTGCAGGTGCACCGGCGGCTGCACACGGGCGAGAAGCCGTACGCGTGCGGCGAGTGCGGCAAGGGCTTCTACGCCACGTCGGCGCTGCGCAAGCACCAGCACGCGCACCCCGGGGAGCAGCCCTACGGCCGTGCGCGCGGCGGCCAGGCCTTCACGTGCGGCTCGCAGCTCGGCAGGCACCCGAAGGCGCACGCGGGCCAGAAGCCCTACCGGTGCGACAAGTGCGACAAGGGCTTCAGCTACAACTCGTACCTGCAGGCGCACCAGCGCGTCCACACGGGGCAGCGGCTCTTCGAGTGCGACGTGTGCGGCAAGAGTTTCAGCTACAGCTCGGGGCTCCTCCGGCACCAGAGGCTGCACACGGGCGAGAAGCCGTACAAGTGCGAGTGCGGGAAGGCCTTCGGCCGCAGCTCGGACCTGCACGTCCACCAGCGGGTGCACACGGGCGAGAAGCCCTACAAGTGCGCCGAGTGCGGCAAGGGCTTCCGGCGCAACTCAGACCTGCACAGTCACCAGCGGGTCCACACGGGCGAGCGGCCCTTCGTGTGCGGCGCGTGCGGGAAGGGCTTCATTTACAGCTCCGACCTCCTCATCCACCAGAGGACCCACACGGGCGAGAAGCCCTACAAATGCGCCGAGTGTGGCAAAGGCTTCAGTTACGGCTCGGGGCTCCTCATCCACCAGAGGGTCCACACGGGCGAGAAGCCGTACAAATGCGAAGAGTGCGGCAAGGGCTTCCGGTGCACCTCGAGCCTCTACAAGCACCAGCGGATCCACACGGGCAAGAAGCCCTACACGTGTGAGCAGTGCGGCAAGGGCTTCAGTTACGGCTCCAATCTCCGCACCCACCAGAGGCTGCACACGGGCGAGAAACCCTACACGTGCTTTGAATGCGGCAAAGGCTTCAGATACGGCTCGGGGCTCCTCAGTCACAAGAGGGTGCACACCGGGGAGAAGCCGTACAGATGCGACGTGTGCGGCAAGGGCTACAGTCAGAGCTCACACCTTCAGGGTCATCAGAGGGTGCACACGGGCGAGAAGCCCTACAAATGTGAGGAGTGCGGGAAGGGCTTTGGCCGAAGCTCCTGTCTTCACGTGCACCAGAGGGTGCACACGGGCGAGAAGCCCTACACGTGTGCGGAGTGCGGCAGGGGCTTCAGCTACAGCTCGGGCCTGCGGAACCATCAGCGAGTGCACGGGAATGAGAAACCTGGCAAGTAGGCGAGCGTTCAGGTGGCACCGCGAACTGTCCACTCCACCCGAGCGCCAGTGCGGGAGGAAGCCTTTGGGAACGCGGCGGTGTGTAGGGTCGGCTGCGGGGGGAGGCTGACCTGGTCACGCGGCCCTTGCTGCAGAGGAAGGAAAGACCCAGAAGTTCGAGAGACGGGAAGAGCACTTGAGTCGCAGGCCTCCTCGTCTCCGAGAGTCTGTCGCGCGGCGGACTGTCCTTCAGGAAGTAGGACGGGGCCTCAGCAGAGATCGTCACTCTCATCAGAGTCGGCCCAGGAGGGAGCTTTTATAAATGATAGGAGCAGGTTGTGGACGTGGATTCCTGGGTGGGGGTGGGGGTGGGTGGAAAATACCTACAGATGGGACAAATGTAGGAAAGAATGGTCACCTTACTAAAACCAGTATTGTGTGTACCTTTTAGAAGATCAGTTTTACAGAAATCCAAAGATGGTGTTACTGTGGGTTGAGGCCAGGCGCTTTTAGAAGAGCAGGAACAGTTAGAGGGAGGGCCCCCCTCTTGGTGGGTGTGGGTGATGCGTCTCCATCACGTTTTTTATGCCACGGGGTGGTGAATGTGTTTTATCTCCTAGAGATAAACTGCTCTCCTAGAGAGGTTGTGCTGAACTGCGGAGCCATTTCATTTTATCAGGTTTGTTCTGTTTTGTTTTGAAGTAGGCTCCATGCCCAGCACGGAGCCCACCGTGGGGCTTGAACTCACGACCCCGAGATCAAGACCTGAGCCGAGATCAAGAGTCGGACGCTCAACCGACTGAGCCACCCAGGCACCCCTCATTTTACCAGGTTTTAAACACAAAAGCCAATTGGCATTGCATTGAATTTATAGGTTAATATGTTTTATTGCTATCATGAATATAATGCTTCTGCCCCGTTTCATTTCGTAGTGTTTTTGAACAGACAAGACAACTATTAGAGCATTTTAAGAATTAGAAATACCATTTTAACTTGTCAGAATAGCCGTGGAAAAATAGAGTCACCAAAGCCACCATCAGTGGGGATCTGTGGAAACCTGCACCTGTGAATTTATTGGTGGGGGGTGAAGAAAAGTAGCCTTTTGGGAAAGAATTTGTCAGTGTATCAAGTTCAAATTTGTGTAACCTTTGAAGTGGCAATAAGTGTGTAGTAATTGATACTTGGGAGATAGCTGCACATATGGAAAAAGATGTATGCATATGGCTGAGTTTCTTAGCATTTTCTTACCATAGCAAAAAAAAAAAAAAAATGTTAATACTCCAAGTGTAATAAATTAAGGCACATGTAAATGAGTGAAAACCACTAAAAATATTCAGGTACACCCACATAGACATTGAAGGTTGCCCACAAACCATTTTGTGAACCAGGAAAGTTGGAGAGCCATTTTAGTATGGTCCCATTTTGTTAATACGTTTTTTGCGTGCGTATGTTTATATAGAGAGAAGGACACAAAAATGTGTGAAAGGTTAGTATGATAACTGCTTACCTCTAGTAAGTGGGATGCGGGGTGTGTAATACATCTGTGTACTTGTACGTATTTTACTTTTTAACACAGTATATATATCAATTTTGTAACAATAGTAAAGCTATTTTTTTAAAAAAATTAGTCTGGTGGAACAGTGCCTTATGGTCAAAGATCCATGTCACAACCTCTATAATTTTGTTGTTACTTTTTCTACCGTTTACTTAGCACCTAGTACCAAATATAAGGTATACAAATGACCTGAGAAATTTGTGAATTAGATGCTGCATAATTTTTGTTGGCTTGGTCGGAAATGAGGGTGGTCTGGGTAATTGGGAGGAGCCGGGGTGCTCCACTCTGCACTCTGGCCCTCTGGGACCAGTGAGCCCCCAAACCTGGTTTCCTAGAAGGCAGCGCACCAGGATATGTCCCCTGTAGTCTGATTTCCTTTCCTGGGGCCATGTCTGGGGGGTCAGAAGCAAAGTGTCCATAGCTGAAAAGGTTAGCTTTCTGAAGGGGCTTGGAAAAAGTCTCAAGTGTTTTGTGGAATAGCAACTGCATCATTTTAGTCATGGGGTGGGCTTTATAGCCAAAGAACACATGTAGACACCGTCCCTGCCCCTCAGACCCTCAAGGTTTGTGGTTGATATGTTAAGCTCTCTAAATGGATTTCCAAAGGAGGACCGCAAATTTTTTTTTCTGTAGTTTTATTTTATGCATTTTTTTAAAGCTCCAAAATTTTAATTTTTAATTTTTTTTTTTTAGTTTCAGGGGTAGAATTTAATGATTAATCAGTGGCATATAAAACCCAGTGCCCTCCTTAATGCCCATCACCCAGTTACCCCATCCCCCCCCACCTCCCCTCCAGCAACCCTGTTTGTTTCCTGTAGTTAAGAATCTCTTAGGGTTTCCCTCCCTCTCTGTTTTTATGAAATCTTGCCATTTGCAATGACGTGGATGGAACTAGAGGGTACTACGCCAAGGGAAATAAGTCCGAGAGAGACAAATACTGTATGATTTCACTAATATGGGGAATTTAAGAAACAAAAGAGATGAACATAGGGGAAGGGAAGGAAAAATAAGATAAAAACAGGGAGGACCACAGGTTCTTAAATTGGTCTGGGCAGTATCTCCCCAGTGTCCTGGAAGTAGCTGTCACGTGTTGGCTGCAGCTAGTCATCTGAATGTTTGACCAGGGCTTAAAGGATCTGCTTCCAAGATGGCTTTGAGCATCATAGAGCTTTGAACAGGAGGCCTCAGTTCCTCGGTGGATGTTGGAAAAGGTCTGAGTTCCTCACCACGTGGGTTCCTCTACAGGACTACCCGAGGGCCTTCGTGACACGGCAGCTGCCTTCCCTCAGAGCAAGTGGCCAGAGAGGAGAGCGCAAGCAGGAAGCCACAGGGCCTTCTGTGACCCAGTCTCTGAAATGACCATCCCTTCTGCTTTCTTCTCTTCCTTAGGAGTCACTAAGGTTCTGGGGAGGGGCATTAGGTTCCACCTCTTGCAAGGAGTACCAGAGAACTTGTGGATGGATCTTTAAAAAACCACCATACCTACTAACAGCTTGGGAGAATGATTCGGTTCAGTCGACCTTTGTAGATGTGTACTGACCATTCTACCTGCTAGAGGCTGTCCTCGAGATCCCACTGGGTTGCCTAAAGTTTACCCAGGTGCCGATCGGCTGCTGCCATGTCAGTGGTGACAAGGGATACAACAGCGTCAAGGGAGTGCTGTAACCACTATGGATTGGTTGGAGCCGGACGTAGAAGTGCAGTGCTTTCTCTGCAAAATCAGCAGGAACAATGAAGTAAGATGTCACCCTCTGTTGTCATTCTCTTGCAGTCTCTGAATGTTACATGGTAGGAAGGTTAATACAAGTTTCAGGGCCTCTGGGGAGTTGTAAAAACACCATCTGCAGGGCAGAGTCAGAAACTGGTAGTCTCTAAAGAATGATGGTGAACAAGTTGGCTCTAGCTGAAGTGGGTTGGTAGGGGCAGTAAGTCTGGTATAGAATATAGAGTTGATTGTGACAGTAATGTTGTATCCTACCAACAGGGTGACGTGATCATTTTAGAAGGTAGAGTCAGAGACTTTAGATACGTTTCCTTAAAAAAAATTTTTTTTTAGAGATTTTATTTATTTGAGAGAGAGAGAGAGAGACAGAGATAGCGAGAGAGCATGAGTGGGGAGGAGAGGGAGAAGCAGGCTCCCTGCTGAGCAGGAAGCCCAACGTGGGGCTCGATCCCAGGACCCTGAGATCATGACCAGAGCCGAAAGCAGACGCTTAACCGACTGAGCCACCCAAGATCGTAAGCGTACGCTTAACCGACTGAGCCACCCAAGATACCTATTTACAAGTAGATTTTATGGGTCCAGACAAATTGTAACTGTTCCTCAGAACAGTCCTCAGCCTGAATATAAATATCTCAGGTATAAAACCCAACCTAGTGTTATTCCATCAGGAGATGGAGAATGAAGTACGCCAACTAAGTGAGATAGTCTACTAGCCCACTAGGATGAGGTGGTATGATGGTAGGTCAGAAATTAAATTTGGTTTATTCTCACTTGGGAGATCTCCTGCATCCAGATGTGTCCCTCGGAGCACTGGAAACACCTAAGCCTGTCATTGCCTTGGACCGCAGGGTCACAGTGTAACATTGTATTGTGTAATTTGGCCATCAGGAGCACATGCAGATCATATTCAACCCCTTGAATTTTTACTTCTGACTGACATTTGGTTAATCAGTAGATACTATGTGTCTAAGCACTGGGGATACAACTGTTAAGGTGTTCGGGCCAGAACGCACAAGCGAGAAAGTAGTAGAAAATGAGGTCAAAAAGGAGAAGCTAAAAGGGAGTAAATGAACTAGGTTGTGGAGAGTTGACATATTTATCACAGATATTACTGAGGCATGTTAAAGGAAACCTCTTCATCCAGTAGTTTTAGGATCTCCCCAAATTAAGGGTCACTCCCGCCTCTGTGGCAGATCTTACTAGATTTTTTTAAAATCACGATGAAATTAATGTCAAGATATCAAAAGACAGAGCGAGGCCAAGAGAATTTCGCTGTCCCTGTATGTGCCATGAGTTGCAACGCCAAGCTATGTAGCTGGATATCCTGCCCACTGCTTGGAGGTGGGGGTCTGCAATTACCTGTCTAGTCCAGGACTAGAGCTGGCAAAAAGAGAATATGTTCTCACCCGTTTTTGGGTGCTTTTCTTCCAGGCCAGAACTGTGGGTTTCTGGTGAAATCCTTATACAGTTTTCTTACCCAGTGAGGGCACAAGACAGATACTTCCTTTAACAGCAATCTTAAAATGCAAAAAGTAAATGCCACCAGGGGAGACTTCTCAAAGGGAATCTGAAACCTTTCCATGTCTCCGTGATTTGTGGAAATAGGTCTCTTATAAGAGACTCCCTCCCCACCCCCGACTTGTGCTATTCCCTAATTCAAAACAGAAGGCATTGGGTGTTAATAATCCTCTCTGCTTCACCAGAGAAGCGGAAACATGAGAGGACTCTGAACTCTCAAGTGTGGAAGATTTTCCAGAGTCCCCTTCAATAGAAACAAACCGTGAAAAGGGTATTTAAATGAGTTTTTTATGGGGTGTGTCCGCAGAATAAGAACCTGTAAGGGTTTTCACTAAAATGGGAACAAGTGCGCGTTTCCAGGTGGTGGAATATTGGATCTTGCCCCTCCTTTATATCACGGGTGGAGAGTGATTTGTCTTAATTATTGTTAACATTTCACTGTTACTTTATCACCATTATTATTATTAATTTTATTGTTTTAAATAAATGGCAAGAGTGCGGGTGGCCCCAGTGGGGCCACGGGTCCCCAGGGAGCCGCCCGGCGCGGCCGCGCTGCGGCGCAGGGCCTTCTGGGGGTTGTAGTCCACAGGCTTCTTGCGCATGCGCTCTGGGCACAGGCGCTCACTGTGGGCGACATTGTCTGCGGCGCTGAGGTGAGTCCGGCCCGGACCGCACCCGCTTCGGCGGCGTCGGGGGCGATGGGGGTGGAGGGTGTGTGTAGCTGTGACCCGGCCCTGTCGACGGGTGGGAGGAGTTGGAAGCGGGGACTGGTGGCCAATGGAAGAGCCTCCTCGGCGGGGCGGGCTGTTGAGGGGCTCGCCCAGCATTCCCTGGGAAGAGGTGGGAGAGCTTGAGCTCGGTTTTGGGGGGACTGACTCCGGTAGCGCCGCTGCAGGTTTCGGGATAGGGGCTGTGCATCCCCGCGTTGGGGTTGGTGTCAGTCTTGGAATGTGCATCTCTGGCCCGGGGCGGGTTGGCTCGGGTTTGGGGGAATAAGTGTTTGGGCCGAGCGTCCCTGACTGCGGAGAGGGATTGGCTCAAGCACTTCATCTCCGAGTATGGGGGACTGCTTGGGCTGTACATTCCTGGCATTGGCAGGGCGGGCAATTCGGGCTCAGCAGCCCTAGATTCTTGGAGTCTTGGATTCTGAACCCTGTGTTTGGGATTTGGCAGCCCTGACTCGGGGGTGGGGCATTTTGTTCCCCAAAACTGGGTTCACTTTTGGTGGGTATTGAGCCAAAAGATACAACCAAGCCCAAAAATAGGAAAAGGAAGATTTTTACTTGCAACAAATAGAGGGGAGCACGGGGGGATATTTTCCAAAGCAGTGTCTCCTGGAATAACAAAACTGGGGACATTTTAAGGTAACGGTGCATACATATTCATGAAGGGGTCTGTGCAATGAGGAATTCAGCCTGGAATTGGGGGGCAAAAGTCATCTTAAGGTGACAGAGCCCAGGTCTGATGGAAGTCATGAGGGCTGGCAAGGGTCAGCTTCATCAATTCTGTGGCTCTGGTTGGTCTGGTATCTGGGTGCTCAAAGGGGTTTAGATCCTGAAAAGAGAACTCAAGAATGTGCTTGCGGTCACTCTTCACGTTTGAATCAGCACTGCGAGTTTTACCATTGATTGATTGTCCCTGATACGATCAGGCTATCTCCTGGCCTGATAGTGGCTGTTTATTCTTATATTCTTTTGTTCCCTTAAAATTATTAACTACTGAGTTCTATTCTGCAATTTCAACGTATCCCAGGAAGTTCTTTGAGGAAGAAAGTGTTTTGGACAAATAGTGCCTGTCAGGCTTAGATCTCAAGATGACTGGGACCTAGAATGACTAAAATAACTTTTCTTATGTCAAGAAGCTATGTCTCATCTTTCTTGGGGGACCCCTAACTCTTTCTGCTTACATCTTGATTTTTCTCCTCTCTCTAGTTAGAAATCTGAATACAGTTTAGAGAGAACTGCCCCAAATTATTAATCCCATCCTCGCCTTGCATGCTGGGAGGCAGGGAATGCAAACTTTGAGGCTTATAACGCAGAGCAAATGTCAGATTGTTCGATTGCAGTCAACAAATTAGAAATTCGAGCACTGACTCTACATTTGATAAAATTAGAGAATTTATGTTGTTTTAGGTGTAATATTAGCACTTTTAAAACTATTTCATACCTTTTAGAGTGACATAATGAAGTATTTCTGGATTAAGCCATATGATGAATATGGTGTCAGGGATATACTTCCAAATAATATGCAAGGATGTGGGGAGGGGTAGAGGTATAGTTTTTTTTTTGTTGTTTTTTTTTAATTTTATTTATTCATTTGAGAGAGAGCACGAGAGGGGGGGAGGGTCAGAGGGAGAAGGAGACTCCCTGCTGAGCAGGGAGCCCGATGTGGGACTCGATCCCGGAACTCCAGGATCACGACCTGAGCTGAAGGCAGTCGCTTAACCAACTGAGCCACCCAGGCGCCCGAGGTATAGTTTAAACAAGAGTGACCATGTGTTGATAATTGGCACCTGGGGATTCATTGGACCATTCTGTCTACCTCTGCATGGCTTTGAAATTTTTATGATAAAGTATTTTTGAAACAGTTTTCCAGTTAATGAGCTAGGAAGTGTCCTGAGGAAGCATAGAAAGGTTGAATTTACTCTTAGTTGCATATCATATGTGGGGGCCAGATGTTGCAAATTCCCCTTCAGACTAGACCCCTGGGACCTGGGAATCACTGTGAGCTCAGGGGTGTGGTCAGAGCTTCAGGTGTTTCAATGAAACTCTGAGGTTTTCTTCCTTTCGTAATGAAATTGATTCATAGGTGTTTTATGTCTTTTGTCTCTTGCAAATGGGATAATTTTATCTTCTATCTCTGCAAATATAGGTGTGTTTTTCAACGCCTCAAACCTAATATTTCCAAAACTGAGCTCCTGATCCTCCACAGAACTGGCCCCTATAAAACCTTCCCCATTTCTGTAAACGGCAACTCCATCCTTCCAGACAGTGAGGCCAAAGCCGCCACTCCACGCTTTCCACCCCAGATGCAAGTGATCAGCAGATCCCATTGACTGTATCTTCAATATAAATGCAGACCCCAGCAGTTTCTCACTACTTCCACCTCTGCTCCCCTGACCCAAGACACCATCATCCCTTGCTGGGATTATCGTGATAACCTCCTACCTGGTCTTCCTGCACCCCCTCTCTTGCCACCGTTAGTCCATTCTTAACAGCAGTCAGAGGAATCCTTTTGATGCCTAAATGAGATCGTGTCACTCCTCTGTTCAGAATCCTCCCATTGTTCCCATCTAATGAGAGTAATAGCCAAAGTCCTTAAAATGGCCTAGAAGACCGCATACCATCTGGCTCGCATTTACTTTTATTTCATCTCTGATTGCTTATTCCCTCGCTCACTCCACTTCAGCCACGTACCATGCATATTGCCACCTCCGGGTGCTGATGCTTGCTGTTCCCTCTGTCTAGAATGCTCTTTGTACAAGTGCTTGTATTG